CTCTATCCATCCCTCCCTCCACCCTTCCATCCCTCCATCCCTCTGCCTCCCTCAATCCCCACAGCAGCATCGGGAAAGGTTGGCGGAGTGGGGCTATTTTTGGGAGCGTCTCCCTGGCAACGGCTGCCACCACCGTCTGTGGTGGCTTTTCCATAGGTGCTAAAATATTCCACGCTTCTTATTAAAGACGGTGCTGGTGGAGACGGGCGGGGGCGGCGAGTGTGAGCCACCCCACTGCTGGGGCCGGCGGCCGTGGGGTGGTCAGGGCATGGCACCTCGGGGGCACAAGGATGGTGAGGGGCTGGTGGCATCCTCACTGCGACATTCCCATGTCCCTCTCAATGGCTCTGGCACTGCCAGCTGCCTCTTGGCCGTGCTCGGCTGACACACCATGCACAGGCAGAGGGAAGCATGGCAAGGTCTCAGGGGAAGCTGGTGATGAGGAGCAAAAGGCAGATAGGGGGGAAAGACAACCTGAAGCAGAGGCAGCCGCAGGACTGCACAGGTACTTGATGGCTTTGCCCGCTCCAGGAGGGAGTAAGATGTCTCAGCAGCATCTTCATCCCTTTATCACATGGAGGAGAAAGTCCTGTCATGGTTCCAGAGGGATAGCATGCTTTGCCATGGGGCAACCGCTCAGCTACCATCCTGCAGCTCTTAGGAAGCAGCCCCAGAGGCCCTAGGGACAGGGCTTTTGGGAAAGCAATTGCCCCTCTGAACGTGAGCAAGGTCCCCATAGGGAAGGCTGCAGAGGGATTGGACAGGCTGACCCTGCTCCGTCCCGGCACAGCAGCTCCCCAGGACCCTCAATTCCAACAGTAGTGAGCAGCCATGGTCTGTGCAGGAGGCTGAGGCGCTCCTGGTTTGCAGCTGCTCATCTGCATGGAGCTGCTAACCCACCCTCTGCTTCCCTGGCTGTGTCTTTACCAGGTGGGAGCAGGCTGTGCTCGCCACGCTGGTCCTTGCTGGTACCGGTGGGGACAGCAGGCTCCACAGTGTGTTGTAAAAGGGGCCACCCCGTGTGCCAGGGGATCCTGGGATGATTTTGGGAGGGAGGATCATGCTTGTTGCAGGATTGAGGCCCAGAGGAGACTCTAAAAGTGTTTTTGTTAATCTTTTTTTACTTTTCAGCACAGGCCTTAATACTGGGGGCAGCAGGTGAGACATCAAGATGTAAACCATGTCCTCAAACTATGCCACCCTGGAGCAGGGCTGTCCCAGGGACCCTGTGCCTACAGCTGCTGCCTGTGGGGTCAGGGCTCTCTTCAGCCTCCAGCTTCGCTGCAGAAGAGTCCCTCAGCTTCTTGTCTTGCCGCCAAGGTGTGACCTCTTCAAAGCTTCTGAGATGCTGCTGGCCATGGGGACCCAGAGGAGGATTCCTGGACAGGTTTCCCGGACAGGTTTCCCAGCAGGGCAGCTGTGCACTATCCTGGAGCCTTGAGGGCTGGTCCCTCCGTGCCCACACTCCTCCTCCCAGCATTACCCATTCCAGCGGGAAATCCACAGCTCTGTAGGGTGGGGAGGCAATGCCCCGCAGCAAATGCTTT